TTTGGGTTGGATGCTCAGATTCTTTGAAATTGTATTAGATCCGAAGGTTGATGAGTTTGTTCGTGCCACCATTTTCTATCTTCATGTTCTATCATTCCGTTCTCTCTCTAAACTAAGCCCATGGCGCTGCTCTGGGTTTCTTTCTCTATCTCAATTCAACCCATTGAGCCATTAATTAACATGGCTCCAGACCCACTATTAGCCTGTTGAGACTAATGTCTCCCTCTACTCCAGGCCCTTTACTGTTGAGCCTCCTCCCTTCAGCTTCAAAATAAAAAAATAACAACAACAAAAACAACAACAAAACCCAGTGTAATCTTACAAGTGGGTGTGGGGAGGCTAGAGTGAACAAAAAATAAAGAAGGCAAAAAAGAAGAGAAAAATCAAATCCACATTTCAACTCTAGAACCCAGGTTACTCGTGCAAGAGGGTGTTAAGAAATGCACTTGTCCATAATCGGTTATATAAGCATTTCCAAAGAGTTTTATAATATCCAGGGACAGTCCACCCATTGCCTTAAGGTTTGGTCTGGATGCTCATATTTTTTCACATTGATAATGCTGATTGGTTGAGGTACCTTAGCTTAACATCCATACACACAAAAACAAAAGGAAAAGAATAAAGGAAAATCCACATTCTGGTCATACCTTTGGTTGAACTTTTACTGGATGATCTGCTTTGGGTTTCTCTTGTAATGATAAACCACGCGCTCCAGCATTAAGTTAATGTATAGCTATTTCATGTTTCACTTTCTAACTGTATTTAGCTTTCATATGGTTATATTACAACTCATGCAACAACCCACAGTCCCCAAGGAAAGGGGAGATAAACTTGTGCATATATTTATGTTCTCTTTAGTAACTTCTTTATTCAAACTTGTGCAACGATGTGCTAGTTATTTCCTATGTTTATGCCATTACTGCATATATAACTACTCCATATTCGATTCAACAGAGAGAAAATTTCAAGTCCAGCGCAAATTCTATAGGAGTGCAATCTCAGCTGAGATCCCTTGCACAAATTGTTACAATTGTTGATCCAAAGCTTCATCGACACCTCGGTAAGGGTTTTCTGTTCTCCGTATATTCTTCAGTAACTATTTCTATGAAAGAAGTAAAAAATGCAAGATCTTGTCAGTGTTGTTGATTTTCCAACCAGTTCTCAATACTAGAATGATTAACTAACATCTAAAATAAGCCTTATAGAAGTTTCTGGGTTTTTTTTTGTGTGGAAGGAAGCTTTTGGACATCTTGGAAACAGAAGATGTGAACTAACAAAGTGGATACATAATAATTGGAACTTTCTTGACCACTGACTGCAAGCCTGTGACACCTTCTCCCCTCCCCCTCAGAGAAACAGAAAAGAGTCTGGGAGGGGGGGGAGGTATATACAAGGAGAGTCCTCTAAGGATAAGAGTTTTATTTGTTCATGAACTAACTTAACATTCTTAATATTTGTTGTTGGAATAAAGGAACTGGTAACTATATTGGTCTTTTATACGTTACATATTACGTTGGGCTATCATAATGATTCTAAGTCCTGTAATGTGTTCTGATTATATGTTCCATGAAATCATGATTTATTTTGTGAAACTTTTAATGCACGCAATCCAAGTTTGTTATTGACTGTCACAAGACAAATATTTTCTTGAAGCAATGCAGGCAATACATGTATGGTATCTAGCACCTATCAAAAAGAAAAAATGCAGATTCTATGATGGATAGTCTGAATGATTGTACGTTTTATAAGTTGGGGCCAGACTCATAAATCATAAGTTAAACATTGTGAAGCACTAACATCCATTTTGAAAACGTCTCTCATATATGTTGTTTGGGACGTTGGTAATATAACAAGAATTTTTTTCATGGAGGAGATATATTGGAAATCTGCATTGTTAAGAAATCCTCGAACTGCACGCTTGACCATCTAAAAACATAGAGGAGAACGTCTAGATATAGAGTTTACTCTCTCCCTCACCAACTTTTTCAATTGTAATTGGCAGAGGAGCTAGATGGCGGAGAATATCTGTTCGCGTTACGCATGTTGATGGTACTTTTCAGGAGAGAGCTCTCATTTGTTGATGCACTCTATCTCTGGGAGGTGAGAAGCCCAAACCTCTTTCATATTTATTGTTTGGCAGATAGAAAAATTATTGCACAATAGTTTGTCCCCGTCTTTGGTGTCTCACTTCAGTTAATTACATTTTTCCTGGCTACATTTGCTTTTATGAGACATGGTTGTTTTACTTGGCAAATTATTAACTTCATGAAAGAAATAATTGTTCTACTTGGCAAATTATTAACTTCATGAAAGAAATAATTGTTCTACTTGGCAATTGATGTCTTTTTTGTTTAAAAGAGTGCATCACCTAAATTAGTTTGACATAAAGGTCGAGCGAAAGGATAAGGTTATTAATATTTTCAACTATGAAAGAGGGAAGGATGATGAGCAAATGTAGGTCAGAGTTATTGTAATCTTTTGATTGATGCTACTTTTGTACATACTTCATTTAGGTGATGTGGGCCATGGAGTACAACCCAAACATATATTCATTATATGATAAGACTCTGGAACAACTTCCCGATAAGTTAAATGATACGCAGCTAAAGCAATATGGGAAATTTGAAAGGAGAATAGTGAGAACTGGTGCAACGAAACAGCACGACGCACTTGCCATTTTCCTAGTTGCAAGTGTTCTTGAGACGAAGAAAAAACAGCTTATGAAAGAGGCGAAAGGCCTTGATGATGTTGTCCAGGTCTTTGTAAAATCTCTCTCCTCGTCTATATATTCCACATTATTGTATTCTTTGGTCCTGAAAATAACATTTTTTTTCCAGATCTTGAGTGCGATAACTGGGAATTTGGATGCAAAGAAAGCACTAAATGAGGCTCTAAAGGTTCATAAGAAGTACATGAGCAAGGCAAGTTTTTAACTTTTTATGTTCCCTGTTCTCTGCTTTTCCCAACCCCCTCCCAGCACACACATCCCAAAGGATAAAGAAGAAAGGATTTAAGTTACGAATCCCAGTCATTATGAATGGTTACCTATAATTATCTCTTATGCAACTTAAATAGTATAAAAAAACTTTTTACATTGTCCGTTAAACTCAATAAAGAACCCCCTGGTCCCTGTCCCCGTCTGTTTTATTTTTCAAGTTACAAATCCCGATTATCATGAATGATTACCTGTTGTTATCTCTTAGCGACTCAATAGTATAAAATTTCTTTTAACATTGTCCGTTAAACTCAAGAAAGAAACCCACCACCCCACTCCACCCTTCGACGAGGCCTTTGTTCTGGTACATGAGCATGATATCAAGCATTTTAGTTGGCTCATAAGATGCTCATCAATGCAGGTGAAAAAGACCTAGATGGAGTTGCTATTCATCACTGCAGCAAAGTACCCCTTCTGCTCAATGTTTTGTTGTACTTTTTATGTTCATTCTTTCTTGTGGGAGTGATTTCTCCCTTCTTGCATTTGGTGTATAATTCTTTCTATTTATTATTATTACAAAGAACTTGTACATAATAGTCTTGCTATGAGATGTACATGATGTGCTTTGGTTGTAATAGTTGAATCACATTCCTCAGTCTGAAAAAATATTGGAACATCATACCATATGTTTCATTTTATCTTATTTTTAGAATTTCATTTTTTTTCCTATCTAAGATATGATCATTCATCACCAGATGGTTATTAAAAGGATTATTAGAAAGATAATCATTAAAAAGACAGTTTGGTGCACAAAACATCTCCTTTCACAGTTCGAACTCATGACCTATAGGTCACACAGGGATAATTTTACGGTTGCTCCGAGACTCTCCAAAGATAATCATTTTTCAAGGTTTTTTTTACCAGCGTATGGTATTCGTGGAGCTAGATTAAAGCTGGATTTGCATGGAAAAGTTTTACATTGGGGTAAAATATTTTTTAACAAAGGCAACTTTGTATGAGGGATTCGAACACGAAATCTTTGGTTCAAACACTTAATTAAACAAAAATTGTCGGAGGAAAAAAATAATTATTTACATGGAGCTACTTAGCTAGTATTGGCTAACACGTTAATCTTTTATATTTAGATCGATCTTTAATTCTTTATTAATAGGCAAGATATCCTTTATAAAGATTATGTATATAGTATATCATTGGAAATTAAAAAAGAAAAAGAAAATTATATTCTTTTTTTTTTTTTTTCAAATTCCTACAAAATTGTCTTTTTGGTTTTAAAAGATGACGAATTATACTCAATATCAAGTAAAATTTAATCAACTCGAAAATCTGACTATTTATTGAAATAATCTAGACTTAGTGAAAGCATAACAACACTTTTCACTAGAATAAAAGTTCCAAATAGACGAAATTAACAATTTATTGAAATTGCGATTTAGTTACATTACGATATGTATATAAAATTTCAATGCTTGTTAGAGAATTTATCCTAACTAGCTCCGTTTGTACTTTCCTTTGTATAGAGCAGATTCAGATCCAACCAACAACACATACAGTCTTGAACAGTTAACTAAACTCTTGATGAGCGATATCCATCTTTACCTTATTATGCTTTCCTTAGCCTCCGGCTTGGGCGTTGTGAAGCAAGGGTCAGTAAAATTAACCCCAATCAGTACAGTTAGTTAGAGTTAGTAATTTCTTTAACAATTCTAAATAGTCGTTGTCACCAACCTTATATAATATATATGAATATTTTTAAAATGATTTTTTTTTCAATTTGCACATATAAAAAAATGTTTATAAATAAGAAAGTGCTACCATTACATTGTAGTGGCCACCATTAGGCCTCAAAAAAATTGACAACTAATGAAAAAAGTCAGAAGCAAGATTCTGAAGAGTAAAATATATAAAAAAGAATCTCTTAACTAATAAAAAATAAACTTTAAAAAATGTTAAATAATTATCATTCCTAATATTATGGGATACTTCTGGTTATGAATGACCATTAATTCATTGCCATTGAATTGATGAAAATGTTGCTTTAACATCTTTTTTCCTTTGTGATGATTAAAGAGGAGTCAAACCTAAATTTCATTTTTAGGGTTTGAATCCATTTAATTTCTTGAAATGTTTTTATACTTTGAATTTATACTTACAAATTCAAGAAATACATTTGTTCACTTGAAATAAAAATTCAAAATTCACATTTTTTATTTTGTTTCTTCTGAGTTTCTACACATAATCAAATGATTGATTTTAGATGAAAATATCATATTCTTGATTAATTGTTCACCTAAGTTGAGATCATGTCCACAAAGGTGAAAGGCCTTCTTAAAGGCCTTAGGTACATTTCTCAAGTTTTTGGTAAGTAATTTATATTTTCAATTATTTCACATTTTCATTTGTGGGTATTTTTAGATTATTCTTGAAAATAATTGTTTTATGACAACGTGAAACAGTTGAATTGACGGTATGAATCCTTCGTATTAATTATTTATGGGTATTTTTAGATTCTTGAAAGGGATGAAGGTTGTAAAAGAAGATTGTGCTACCAGTATTGAAGAAGGGGGGAGGTGATTGTTACATGACGGTGAAATAGTTGAGATCAACTGTTTCAGAATTATTTTGTGATGGTGTGAAATAGTTGAGATAAACTATATTAATCCTTCATAATCACGATTTTGGGATATTTTTAGATTTTTTAAAGTGATTGTTTTGTGACGATGTGAAAAAGTAGAGATAAGCTATTGGAGTCCTTGATATTCATCATTTGGGGGTAATTTTATATTTATTTATTTATTAAAAAATGATTGTTTTATGACAGTGTGAGTAGTTGAGACAAATTATATGAATCCTCGATATTCATCATTTGTAAGTATTTTTAGATTTTTGAAAATGATTGTTCTGTTACAGTGAAATAGTTGAAATTAACAGTATGAATCCTTCATATTCATCATTTGGAGGTACTTTTAGATTCTTGAAAATAATTCTTCTATGACGTTAAAATAGTTAAAACAGACTATAAATTCTTCATATTCATCATTTGCGGGTATTAATGATAATGGCAATAAGTCTAAAAATTCAACAATCGAGTATGACTCGATTCTGAATAAGTTGAGATCGTTTGTATGAATTGTTTATGTTTATTCTAATTATTTGGTGCAGATGAGGATAAAGAAAAAGATATGCAAATTGGTTTTCCAACAGATGTAAAACATGTTGCACATATAGGATGGGATGGTCCATCTGTTGATAATCCAACCTGGGTAAATATATATAGTATATTTATATTTTTATTTGTATTTTTTGTGTTCATCGATTTTTATTTTATTCTAATTATTGAATTCATTAAAAGAAATGTATTGAATTGAGTCTTTGTAATGAATAAATCAAATTTTGATTTTTCATCTTATCCTACTACTTAATTCATCATAGTCACTTCAAGAAATATACTAAATTGATTCCTTTTAATAATAGCTAGACCTAATTTTCTAGTTGTGTAATCACCTAGTTTTTTCCCCTTTTTTTTACTTATTACATTTCTTGTGTACATCGATCTTCTTCTTGCACCATATAGTCTATTTCAATTTTCATCTTATTCTACTACTTGATTCACCAGAGTCACTGAAAAAGTATGTTGAATCGATTCTTTTTAAAAAAAATAAAACAAAAAATCTATATTCGATTTCATTTTTTCATCTTATGCTATTACATGATTCACCACAAGATATGTATTGAATTGATTCAATTTCAAATTCATCTTATCTTACTACTTGATTCACCATAATCGTTATAAGAAATGTATTGAATCGATTCTTTTTAATGAATAGACCCAATTTTTTTATTGTGTAATCACCAATTTTTGGATGTTTTTTTTTTATATATATAATTTGGCAGATGAAAGAATTTAAAGCACCAGGAGCATTTCAATCAGCACCTTTAATTCCTCCTTCCGGAGAACATAAAGAAAATCCTAATATTAAATGGGTTTCTGAAGGTGTGTTACTTTTTTCTCCTTCTTATTATTCATCTTTTTAGCGTAAATCTAAATTAGTCGGATCAAAAATTATAATGTGTTGGTTAAATATACGTTATGAGGTTAAACCCTATCACAAAGAAAAACTTAGTATTAAGTGTAGAAGGACAAAGGAACGAATCCTTTTATCCATCGAATTTCGAATCGTGTGACTGACCATCAAGGATCTCTTAATTATCAAAGAAATGGTTACAACATGTGTGATCATATTCATAGTATTCGACTAGAATCATATATATGCGTGAAAAATAAGAATGTGTACATAAAAAAAATAATGAATGGTCAAAAACGCACCTAACATATCTCGATCTTTTGAGTTTCATATTTAAACTATCAGGTATGTGAGTTTTCTACCTTAAACTATTAGTTGTTCACTTTAGTTTTCTACCTGAAATAGCATATCATCGTTCAGGATAGGAAAAGTGAACAACTGATATTTGAGGTGTGTTTTAATAATAGTTTAGATAGAAAACTCACACACCTTATAGTTCAGGTAGGAAATTAAAAAAAAAAAATGAGATACTTTAGATGTGTTTTTGACCTCTTAATTCTCTAAAAGAAGATATATCTCATATAATAGTACACCAAACTCGAGACTTTAAATCCTAGATTCGCCTACTACTTCAAGAGGATCAATATTTTTTTCATTCTTTTTACACAATATGTTTCATGTAAATTGTAGATTCAAATAGAAGGTCAAGAAATGCAAATTCTTCACCACCCAAAGAAAAACAAGAGAAACCAAGAACATCCAGGAGACATTCCACAACAGAAAATGGAAGCAATGAAAACACTACAAACAAAGAGCCTGGCACAAAATCCAGGAGTTCCAGGAGACATCATAACAAGGACATGTCCGATGGAACCAAATCAAGTGAATCCTCGAGCAAAAACAACCCCGATATCCCTAAAAAATCGCGAAGAAAGAAGTCCAAGGAGGATGGTGGCTTGAATCGACCATCAAAATCCAAAGGCACAACACAAACTACAGAGTCAAGTCCTGGATTGGAAAGTGAAAGTAGTGGAATTTCTAAAGAAAAACAAGAGGAGTGAAAAAACAACAACAACAATGTAATGTACTTAAAAAGTTTACATTTTTATTTTTTGACAGCTTAGTGAATTGCAAAACTATTTTTGAGACCACACAAAAGTTTATCATTCACAATTTGTAGAGTGTGTATTGTAGAATGTGTACACTCTAACTTTTTTGATACTATGTGTGTTTTGTAGCTTGCATGAGTCAATAGGTCAACGATGGGTATATATGTTTGAGACTGAAGATAATGTTGGGGACATCTATGAGTCGATAGGTTAATGAAGGGCATATATAAGACAAATCACAAACGTTAGGGCTTTTTGGTCCTTTTTGATGAAATATTGTTCAATGGTTTGAATGGTTTTCATATTTTGGCACCTTAGTAAATTTCATAGCTTAAGTTGTATTTGTGTGATTTATAAGTCATGAATTTGAATCGTGGAAGCAACCAATAATGATTGCATTAGAGTAGACTATATACATCACACACCTTGCTAGATCAGAACCCCACCCCCCACCCCTTTTTTTTTCCAATTATAATATAAGTAAAGAGTTTTTTTATTTAACAGCCGTTTAAAGCAAATGCTATCACTAATGAACTGTATTGTGCGTCCTTGGCCCTCTAGGATTCTTGATTATCGAAAAAATAAAAATATGTGATAAGATGGTATACTCTTAAAATTATAACACTGAATTTTATATTTAAAAAAATAATTCAACTATCATCATCACTATCTATCCCTATCTTTTGTGAGAGATGAAGGTAGCCTGAAAAGGAAAAAAATATATTTAAAATAACTAGACAACTGCCACATAGACAAATTTATGCAAAATCAAACCAAATATATTTATAAAAAATATGTAAGATGTCAACTTCTCAAAGTCAGATTGATATTGATATGATATTGTGGTTTTCTCTTATTTTTGTTTATATATATGCTGAAGAAAAAACAATATTAATTAGCATAGGTAATACATTATAAAAAGGAACATAAATTGATTGATATTTAAGAAGATATATAATTAAACCTACGGACATGAAAGATCATAGTTAAAGTTTTGTGATTGAAAAATAAACAAAAGAATTTGAGAATGTTATTATTTTTCAAATTCAAAGTTCTATATTTCAAGTTCGAAAATTGAAGTAATGTGTCGCTTTGATAAACAAATACTTATTTAAAAATAACCTTCACATTTGAAACATAAATTATATATGGACAAGGTTTTAGACTTCTATCTATTTTTTATTTGTTTGCATATGTGAGAATGTGCGAAAATCTATTAAGGATCGTTTGATATGTGGGATAAGGATAATAATTTTGATTAATTTTATTCCATGTTAGATATGAGGTATCAGCTAATTTTGGGACTATTTTATTACACTATTTAAACTAATTAAGATGGTGGATTATGAATGATATGAAAGGTGAGGTAAAATAGTCCGATGAAATATCTTTACTTTATCTCATTCCTTAGATCAAACGACCTTTTAAAATTTTAACAAATACTTCCTTCATTTTAATTCAAGTGTCTTAGTTTAATTAGAAACAAAGTTTTAAAAAATAAAGAAAATTTTGAATATTATAATCTTAAATTAAAGATATACATAATATTTCAAAAAATAAACGAATGAATTCATCCGTCTTGCGACATAATTAATTACTGGTAAACGCTTCTCCAAAGATGACTTTCTTGAGTTTTCTATTATTTCCGTCATTAAAGTAGCCTTTTGTCGCCCTAAGAAATCACTATAAACGGTTTATTGTACGAACTAATAAGTGTAAAGAAAAAATAGTTCCACTATTACAAGTGGCAAAAGCTTGGCCATTTTAGAAAGTTTATTAAATTAATAATTTGGTCCCATTGTAAATTCTTCGTTTCCAAATCCCACCCACTACTTTTTCCTTTATTCCATTTCTTCCTCATAGTAGTAGAATCTTCTTCTTCACTATTTCATGCCATTTGCGATTTTCTAGTCTTTTCTATGCAAAACCCATTTCAAATATCCTCTCAAAATACCCAAATCACAATTCAAATTAACAAAATTGAAAGATTTTGTGGGATTCTTGATTATTCAGAACCTAAAGCATTGAATTTTGAGATTTTGTGAATCATGGAGTTTGAGAAATTTGTTCAGAAAGAAGAGAGAAGGGAATTAATTTGATGTTTTGTTGGATTATTGATTGATCATTGAGTTGTAAGACAAACTCATATTACCAAAGTTGAGAATTTTACTATTAAGAGGAAGAAAAGTGAGAAAAAGGGTGCGTTTGGTTTGATGTTTTGTTGGATTATTGGTTGATCATTGAGGCCCATATTTTGCAAAGTTGAGAATTTTACTATTAAGAAGAAGAAAGTGAGAAAAATGGTGTGTTTGGTTTGATGTTTTGTTGGATTATTGGTTGATCATTGAGACTCATATTTTGCGAAGTTGAGAATTTTACTATTAAGAAGAAGAAAGTGAGAAAAAGGGTGTGTTTGGTTTGATGTTTTGTTGGATTATTGGTTGATCATTGAGACCCATATTTTGCAAAGTTGAGAATTTTACTATTAAGAAGAAAAAAGTGAGAAAAATGGTGTGTTTTGTTTGATGTTTTGTTGGATTCTTGGTTGATCATTGAGACCCATATTTTGCAAAGTTGAGAATTTTACTATTAAGAAGAAGAAAGTGAGAAAAAGGGTGTGTTTGGTTTGATGTTTTGTTGAATTATTGGTTGATTAGAGAATCCACAGAGACCCAAATCACTATTTCAATTTAGGGACTCTGTGAATTTTGCAAAGTTGCGTAAAAGAGAGAAGAAAGTGAGAGAAGGAGTAGGGATTTTGTTGAAGATTTTGGGGATTGTTAGTTGATTAGAGAATACCCTTTTGATCAAAATGGAATTTTGATCCATTTTGATTTTTGCAAATAAAAAATATGGGAAGTGCTCATCACTGTTTCCATTATTCTTCAAATAGTGAAAAGTAAGATTCCTTAACCACTTCTTTCTTTGCTTGTGCATTGTTAGTTGGTATATAATGATGGGTCCTGAGTTTGTTTATCCTTATTTTAGGCTTCTAATTAACGCGTAATAGTTGGTTATAGATGAATCTTTTTGGTTATGAGTTCCTTAGCTTTCATCCTTACTGTGTTGTTTGGAGTTCAAGTTCATGCCCTGTAGAAATGGGCACAGATTCAACAACAACAACATACCCTGCGTAATTCCACAAAAGGAGGTGCAAAAGTGAAGGAGTTGAGAGAAGGAGTAGGGGTTTTATTGTTTTTTCTTTTGAGTTATTGGTTGATCATAGACTACCCTTTTGATCAAAATGGAATTTTGATTGCAAATAAAAATATGGGAACTGATCTGGCTGTGTTATATTGTTTTCACCACTATATCCTTCATTCTTAAACAGTGAAAAGTAAGATTCCTCAACCCCTTCTTTCTTTACTTGCCCATTGTTGGTTGCTATATGATGGGTCCTGAGTTTGTGTGTCCTAACTTTAGGTTTGTAATTATTGCATAAAAGTTGGTTCTGGTTGAATTTTCTTGGTTATGAGTTCTTTGGGCAAACGAGTTAAACTCATTGTTGTTGGTGTTGCTTGCTGTTAAAGCATCGTGAGGGAGTTGGTACAATATGGAGAATGATAATTGGGTCAACAAGCCGGGGAAGGCTCAGAAAAGTTTGAAGTTGAGGAAGATGATGAAGTGCTTCTGCTCGGGCGAACAATTACAGATAGGTGACATGGTTCCATTGCCTGATTCCCCTGCGACTAAGGATTACAGAGCAAGTGTCCGTTCATCAAGAGCCGGAGACACTGGCAATATTGAAGAAGCTGAATCATCTTTGCGCGAGAGTGGTGCTTTGAATTATGAGGTACCATATTAAATTTTCCTTTTGTGTAGTGTCCCATCTCATCCTAAACCATTTCAAGTTTCAATGGCATGTATTACAATTATTATTATTCATTCATCTGACAGTTAAACTTCATCTAATTTCTAGGAAGCAAGGGCATTGCTTGGAAGATATGAGTACCAAAAGGGCAACATAGAGGCTGCTCTACATGTGTTTGAAGGGATAGATATTGCCTCAGTGACTACTAAAATGAAAGTCACCCTTGCTAAAAGAGCTCAAATTCAAAAGAGACGTTCGCAGAAGTATGATACACCACCAATGTCCATACATGCTGTGAGTTTGCTCCTGGAAGCAGTCTTTCTTAAAGCAAAATCATTGCAGGCTCTTGGGAGGTTTAAAGGTAAGATTATACATGGTAGTTTTTTCAGTTCACCTTTTGTAATAAACATTATTTCTTACATGGGTTCAAACAGAGCAAAATGAATTACAACAATTCATACAGCCAAAACTGACAAGCTTTGCATTGAGGCATATTAGTTATTGTTGTAATATCTATGTTTTACGTGTTTCAGTATGATGATCATTTTCAGTTAGGACAACTTTGTTCAGTATGCTAAAGTTTTTGAGTTATGTTATCAATCGGGTTTCTTTGCAAATGTTTTTATATGTAAAAGTTTAGTTCAACTCTGTTGAAGTTTGCACTGGCTCTCTTACATTACTGTATCCATCCTTGGGGCCTTCCATGGGACAATGTGAATTATTATCTGTTTTTGTTGATTGCTAGTGCTTGTTTAGTTCATTGTTTGGTCTTATTTATTCTTTTAAATCACGTGTTAATTTCTCCAAAATGATCTGGTTAAATTCATAATTTGGCTTTTCAGTTAGATATCTCACTTGTAGGGTAGTGTGAGAATAGTGTATGTTACTTCTGAGAAACCTTACAAGCACACATCTCTCCTGCAGCAGATTTTTTTACATTCTTACCATGCCGTGTCTATATGTGATTGTGAACACAGCATGATTAGGAATTACATGAACCCGAAAGCTCATAAAGTGCAAGTTTTCAACATCTTCATCTGATGCCTTCTCCAAATATTTTTGCAGAAGCTGCTCAATCATGCACTGTTATTCTGGACATTGTTGAATCTTCATTACCAGAAGGCTTGCCTGAAAACTTTGGTGCTGATTGTA